AGATTTTATTACTCCCAAGTGATTCTTAAAATTTGAATGTACGCACTGATCTATCGGAATTAATTTGAATTACTTGATTAAACCGATTAAGTCGGCTTCGTTAATTTAAAAGTTCCTAGCTCTTGCGATAAAAAAAATTTGAGAATTTATATATATACTTTGCTTGTCTGGGTGTCTGTGTGTTTATATCCAATTATAACGTCGAAACGGCTGAACCGATCGGGTCCAAACAAAATTGATTGTCATTCAAATTTGAAAAACCACGAATTTTTTCATAAAAGCGCGAAATTTTTGTTTTGTTTATGTTTAAAAATTTATACAAAGAGAAAATGTTTACAATTGAAGTAGAAGATTAGCGTGAAGCGCCTTGTAAGCCTAGTTTATTAAATTATTTAAAAATAAATCTGCGCAACACTGGTCTACGTAATTGATTAAGAAATCTAGACAAAGTTAAATAAAAGTCTGAAAAAGAAAGTGGATAAAAAATCAAAAGCTCTTGTCGAAAAATAAAAAATTTAAGACTTTCGGGTGAACTTAAAAAAAATAATGCATAAGTATTGAAACTAATGATATTTGATTTGCAGGACATGGATTTGATTATTTTTTTGGACTTCCCTTTACTCGAGTTGGATCTTTTGGCACTCAAGATGGGTAATTATTTACGTTTTTTGTTCTTAATTCTGAAAACGTATCCACCCCCAGATTCGCAGATTTCTTCAAATTCTTCAAATGTCGTCTTTTCAATAATAATTCCAGAAAATCTGCAGAAAATTTTTGCGAATAATGAGAAAATAGAAACTTATAATTGAACAAGATTACTTATTTTCGATGATAAAATTAATTTTAATTTTCTCAACCTGTGTCTCAAATGAATCCTAAAAAGGTTTCCACAACACTGCATACTCAGTTCAACTACCTTACATAGCCGGTCTGTCCCTTTAATCATCTAAATGTTTTAATATCATACAGTTATTATTTATAATATATATGTAATATGTATATTTCAAAACAATATCCGGCACTGAAACACTAGTTAATTTACTGCAGTCATAACCAGAAAACTCTGGAATAGAAAGTCGACTTTTAGACTCAAGTTATGACTTTAGATAGTCCAATGAGCATGAGACACATTAATTGTCACTGTGCAGTGTAAACAGACACATTTCAACTAATGAGCAATTTAATAACTTACTTTTAAAGCTTTTTGTGTGTAACAACATCCAATAGACTTCAGTATTGCTTTAATGTCGCCTTCCTATTCTACAGTTTTAATCTATTGCTGATGTAACGAGTTATCAACCATTATCCTTTCTTCTTTATTTGTTAACAGTCCCTTTAAATTTTTTTTTTGTGAAACGTCCCTTTAAATCTTTTTTTGTTAACAGTCCCTTTAAATCTTGATTTGTAAACAGTCCCTTTAAATATTTTTTTGTAAACAGTCCCTTTAAATATTTTTTACTTAAAAATTGAATTTTAGTTTCAGATTTTTAAACCTCAAGTCCTCCATCTTCTCTTTCCTTTGCTTCGGTAAATACTAGATAGTTTTGTAAACATTGATTATTCGTTTGATTTTTGTTTTTGTCTGTTCAGTTCTTATTGGTTGGTTCTTTTTGGAGCATCTCCGTCTAACCAATCAGGAATTAAATATTACATTTTTTCAAATAAAATTTTTTTCGATTTAATTTTTTTAACAATTTTGAAATTACAATTTCATTGTCTTATGATGAAAAGTAAATTAATGTATATTAATGTTTCAAGGATGCATTTTGGCAAAGATCAGATTTTATGGACAAATTTTTAAACAGGTAATTCAATTTTGATTTTAAAAACCTTGCATACTTCTGTTATTCTTTACACTTTGAATCTTCAGGGGTGTTTTTTATTGAATTTTTTTATTTTTTATTTTGTGCCAGGAAGAAAACATGGTTTTCCTGAACTTTTTAAAAAGGGAATATTTTAGTCGTGCAATTTCCGACCCCATTAAGTTTTCATTTTTCTTATTTCCGTCTTCTTTCCGACCCCATCAAGTTTTCATTCTTTTCTTTCCAAACCCATCAATTTTTCATTTTTCTTCTTTCCGACCCCATCAAGTTTTCATTCTTTTCTTTCCAAACCCATCAAGTTTTCATTTTTCTTCTTTCCGACCCCATCAAGTTTTCATTCTTTTCTTTCCAAACCCATCAAGTTTTCATTTTTCTTCTTTCCGACCTAATCAAGTTTTCATTCTTTTCTTTCCAACCCCATCAAGTTTTCATTTTTCTTCTTACCGTCTTCTTTCCGACCCCATCAAGTTTTCATTTTTCTTCTTACCGTCTTCTTTCCGACCCCATCAAGTTTTCATTTTTCTTCTTACCGTCTTCTTTCCGACCCCATCAAGTTTTCATTTTTCTTCTTACCGTCTTCTTTCCGACCCCATCAAGTTTTCATTTTTCTTCTTACCGTCTTCTTTCCGACCCCATCAAGTTTTCATTTTTCTTCTTACCGTCTTCTTTCCGACCCCATCAAGTTTTCATTTTTCTTCTTACCGTCTTCTTTCCGACCCCATCAAGTTTTCATTTTTCTTCTTACCGTCTTCTTTCCGACCCCATCAAGTTTTCATTTTTCTTCTTACCGTCTTCTTTCCGACCCCATCAAGTTTTCATTTTTCTTCTTACCGTCTTCTTTCCGACCCCATCAAGTTTTCATATTTCTTCTTACCGTCTTCTTTCCGACCCCATCAAGTTTTCTTTTTTTTTCTTTTGGGGCTGGTTTGTTATTTGAAAATATAAACACATGGTAGCTTGCCATTTTGAAATATGTTTTTTTAGTTTTCTGATGGAGAATAGTAAAGTGGTGGAGAAACCCTTAGATTTAACCAGGCATGGAATCAATGTCAACTTATAAAAAGAATCATTGGAAGGACTGTATGCACCCCGCGACTATTCTGGCTTTCGGGTCGCCTTTCACTTCCCCCCCTATTATGAAGACCCCGTGGAACAGACGCAATTTCAAGTGACTCTCTACTTGTCCAATTTACAACGGTAGCCCTTAAAGCTTTGTCGGAATTGAACACTTTTTAAGCTGGTAACGGCAAAATGTCTCCATCAAAGATTAGATTAAGTTTTAATTAGAGTGCAGTTGTCAAGCATGCTCTTCTTTAAATGGAAGCTCACTTGAAATTACAACAACAGTCACTTTCACCAATTTATTATTCAATCAAAATTCAATCGTTTTCTTGATAAATCTGTAAATTATTTTTATTTCAAAACTTGTCATTGTTCTAAGCTTAGGTTGGACGAAAGACTGACTGACAAGTCTGTTAAATTCATCCAAGAATCTGCGCAGTCCGAGGACCCGTTCCTTCTCGTGCATTCCTTTACACATGTACATGTTCCATTAATAGGCAGGTATGAATACATGTACAGTACAGTGCAATGGGTTCGTTCCTTCTCATGCATTCCTTTTCACATGTACATGTTCCATTAATAGGCAGGTAGGAATATATGTACTGTACAGTGGGCCCGTTCCTTCTGATGCATTTCTTCACACATGTTACATGTTCCATTAATGGGCAGGTAGGATTACATGTACAGTACAGTGTGTTAGATCTTTCAAAAGCATTCCTTCACACATATACATAATCCCTTAATAGGCAGGTAGGAATATATAAACAGGTCAGGTAGTTCGATTCTAATTGCCCCCCCCCCCCTCCCTCGATCTACGATCTTCCAAGTTTTCTACTTGATGCTTGTCGAATAGTTTATTATCTCTCTAGACTAAAGACCAACAAGGATAAACTGAATTGATTAAAGAATTAATATAGTCCGAAGTTTTCTGGAAGAAGTGTGCATGGTTCCTATGGGGATAGTATTCTGGAGACAGATTTCTGTATTGGCAGAATACTGCAAACCCTCAGGTAATATATCAATCAATCAACTTTAAAGATTTTCGAGATTTCTCAAAAATTTCAAAAATAATAGTTTTTTTATAAATCTATGATCATCAGTGCTTTATATTTACCTAAAAATACATTTTCAATACATTTTTGATGGATTATTTAAAAACGAAAATGCTCCTTATTTTATTGATTGATTGTTAATATTTGTAGAGATACGGGGGTAGATAATAATACGTTTATATTCTTCACTTCAGATCATGGAGGAAATCATCCACAGGTTAATTCATTCATTTATTCATTCACTTATTTATCCTTTCATTCATTTATTTATTCATCCATTCATTCATTCATTTATTCATGCTTTCATTCATACTTTCATTCTTTTATCTATTCATCCTTTCATTCATTGATTCATTCATCTATTCTTTCATTCATTCATTCTTTAATTCAGCGATTCGTTTGTTTAATATTCTTTCATCCTTTAATTCATTCAATCTTTTATGCATTGTTTCATTCATTTAATCATCCTTTCATTCATCCTTCCTTTAATTCAGTTGTTCGTTCGTTTTTGTATTTTTTCATCCTTTTAATTCAATCACCGTTTTTTGCTTATCCATTGATATTTTTTTTCGTACCTTTTTTCTCATTCAAATGATATATGTGTTAAAGTTTAGGTTGGGGATAAAGGAGGTTACAATGGGGATTTCCGTGGAGGGAAGGGGAATGGAGCTTTAGGTATGCTAATTCCCATGAAAATACTTAACGGAAATTGTCAAAAATGAATTTTTCTTCTGAAATTTGTTGGATATTTTTGGTCCTCTCTAGGGAGCAATATTTTTTTTATGTTTTCCACTTTATATCTGAATTTGTAAGTTAGAACATTTTTACATCTTAGAATTTTCTAAAAATATATTTAAAACCAGAGAACATAATTACATTGATGGCTTTAAGAACATTTTTGGTCACATATGCAACACTAATTATAAAATAATCGTGAGAGTTTTAATTTTTGAAAAAACAACAAAATTTGCAGAATTTTTAAGNATAGCATGTACCTTCCCACCCTCGTGAATATAGCATGTACCTTCCCACCCTCGTGAATATAGCATGTACCTTCCCACCCTCGTGAATAAAGCACCTTTTAAATCCTGAAGTCCAACTTCCGGTAGGGTTATACATTTTGTTGAAAATCAATCCCCCCCTTTCCAAAAACATATTTTAAGAATTTAAATTTTTTAGATTTCTTTTCAGTGAAATTGGAAATTGTTTTGAAAAAAATCATCAAAGTTCTCATATTTTTCCTCAAATCTTCGAAAATACGGGAAATATTTCCGTAAAAATTATTTGTCGCAACCGTTAATTATGTCAAACCTTTCTCATTCTTCATCAATTTTAGGATCTGATGTATCACAGATGCATTTAGACGGAGTTTCTCTTGTTCCCCTTCTCACATCAAACCATCCACTCCCGCCCCGAACCTTATACCATTTTTGTGGATCCGATGTTTTTACCGTCCGATCATGGACCGGACAGAAAACTTACAAATGGATCTTGAGCCAGCCCAAGTTGAACCAAAATGGCGGTTGTGATACCGATTTTTGTCCATGTCATGGGCCCGGAGTTGTTAAACACGAGACAGTGCTATTGGTTGATATTGACGATGACAGAAGAGAAGAAAATCCGCTGGATCCGGAGTGCAAAGTGTACACTAGTCTTGAGCCAAAAATGCGAGAAGAACTGAATGCATTTCGCGAGGATGTGGCGCGAAACAGCATGCCGTCACAGTTGTTCTCTTGGAGAGTCATGCCGCATCCGTGGTTGCAGCCATTCCTTCCTGTGCAGTACATAGAAGATTAGTTCAAGACATAATTTTTGTTTAAGTCATGATTAGCATGTATCAAAGTTAAGATATTACTAATCTTAAAAAATCTGTAGAATTATTTCTTTTCACTTTCATTGATACAAAATACTCATGAAAATCATTTAACATTTAGATAAGATCATTTTAATATACGAATAGTTCATTATTTAAGAAATTTGCATTATATTTACCTATCACTACCCAGATCGAAATTTTTGAAGTTTTGAATTTTTTTTCGCACTGAGATTGACCAGATATTTCAAAAATAAAATGAAAATTGATTAAAAAATATCTTGTAATTATTATTGATCGATATTGATATTTCAGAAATGGGTAAATTTAAAAATGACAAACGGCCGTTGCCAGCGGCCGGTAAAAAGAACTTTAAAAAGACGAAGAGCGGGTTTGTCCAGAAGGCCAAATTGACACCAAGCGAGGTGGCCGCACAGAAAAAGAAAGATTGGAATAAAAAGAAAGATTTGTGGAAGAAGAAAAAGATGACTGGGAAATCGGAGGACGTGAAAAAGTTTGAAATCGTGAAAAAAGAAAAGAAAAAGGTGAAGAAAGTGGAAACAAGAAAGAAAGAAGAATCAAAGAGTCCTGAAAAGGAAAGGAGAAAAGAAGAGGAAAAGGTGAAGAAAGTGGAGACAAGAAAGAAAGAAGAATCAAAGAGTCCTGAAAAGGAAAGGAGAAAAGAAGAGGAAAAGGTGAAGAAAGTGGAAACAGGAAAGAAAGAAGAATCAAAGAGTCCTGAAAAGGAAAGGAGAAAAGAAGAGGAAAAGGTGAAGAAAGTGGAGACAAGAAAGAAAGAAGAATCGAAGAGTTCTGAAAAGGAAAGGAAAAAAGAAAAGAAAAAGAAGAGTAAAGAAGTAGAAGATGATGAAGTTCTTACACTAGGTAATCTTAAAAATAAACTTTTTTCAGCAATTAATATTTTTCCAGTCAAGCAAGTTTATCTTTAACCAATCCAAGTTCCAGGTCCATCGCAGTGTTTGACAATTTGTTAAAACGTATGTTTTAATTTTCAACCGATTTTTTAGAACTAGTTGAGGAATTGGGAGGTGACGAAGATGATTTAAAGCTTCTTGAAAAGGTAGGGGAAATTTTACAGAATTATAGTTTTCGAACCGCGTGAACAAAATAATAATTTTTTTTTTCTGGGGGGGGGTTGGCGACTCCATATAGGCAGAAAAATCATTCGTAGCGTTAAATTTCCACTAGGAATCGAAATATTGCGTCAACTGTGCCTGAAAAAGCTAGACAGCTGGAATTATCAACATAAGTTTTGAATTTATTATTAATTGGGAAAAAAACTTTAAAAAAATAAAAATTTTAATATGTAAATTTTTCAAGAACATATTTTCTATATTTCTAGTTTAATTAGACCTTTACCCCCATTCTACCCTCCATCAAACACCCAACCCCACTGTCTCCTTCCCATTATCCTTTATCCTTTATATACTATCTCCCAACTTTTGCCTTTATTGAGGCCATGAACAATTTTGATGAAAAAAAATTCTTTAGTTGAATAAATATTCCATCAACGATTTCATCACGAAGGACATGAAAGAGGAGACTGAGGAGAAGGAGGAGAAGGAGACAAAGGTGAAAGGTAAAGAGAAGAAGACCGACGAAGAGAAGAAGAAGAAAACGAAAAAGATTAAAAATGAAAAAGTTCAAGAAAACGTTGTCAGTAGCACTAGTAGCAGTGGGCAGATAGATTCAGGTAAATAAGGGATATATATGTATATATTTTTCTTATCTCTCCCTTCTCTTGCTAATTATTATTCCCTCCAGATGTAATTATTAAGGGGTTTCAGGGGAAAGTTTTAAAGAGGGTGGAGAAACTCTCCAGCTGATGTCCTTTATTTAATTGGTTTCCAAGAGCACCGAAAATCATGATTTAAAATATTTATCCCTGAATTGAATATATCTGATTAAAAATAAAGGAATATATATTTATTTACATATATCCCAGATGACGAGGAGGAAGCATCGTCAGAGAGTAAACCAGAGTTCCACTTCTTAAAATCAGTCCCTTCAAGGTATCTAAATAAACAATAAGAAAATTTTCTTTGTAATTTTAATACAGAGCTGGGAACTTTTGAACGGTGAATATCGGGATTAATGCTTGATCCACTTGATCCAGAGCTGGGAACTCTTTCTTGTCATCTGATTATATTTGTGTTGTAGGAACTACTGCGTGATAAAGGCTGGAGAAAAGTGGTATAGTACGGTCAGCAGCCCGGCTAGTGACACTACGCCGGTCAATATGTCCTACTGGCTACCTAAGATAGAGAAGTACACAGAAAAAGTCTGGGAACAGGCAGGAGTTAATATTTTACTGAATGATAAATTAAAAATTGTACTATTCTCTTATCATGTCGAATTTTCATTTCACTCTTTTTTCATACTTTCATTAATTTTGTATGTTTTTCTTTTCTTTTTTGATTTTCTCCTTTTTTAAATTCTTTTCTTGTTCTTTTTGGCCTTAGTATTAATTTTTTTGTTATCTCTCTATAATTCAATTTTTAACATATTTTTGGTTTGTTATAGAACAATTGGAACATTACTTCTTCTAAATATGAATTGTTTCTCTTTTGTAAAATTAATAAACTTGAAAAATTGACCCTTGTGAAATGAATAGGAAGTAGCCTGCTATGAGGCGGGACGGAAGAAGGGAGGGGACAAGGGTGAGGAGGCGTGGCTGAAAACAGTTCTTAAATCTGGTACTTTGACCGACAAGCTGTCAGCCTACGTAGTTCTGGTCCAGGCCTCTCCTATACACTGCTTCTCAGGTCTTAACTTTTTGGGAATTGGCCAATGGCCATCTTAGGGGTTGTCTTCACGATCATCTTTGTTACCGTTTTAGACTCTTTTTAAGTAACCTTCTTGGGGATCGAATTTAGGACCAACTTGGGAGCTAGCTTGGGGACCATGGTCCGTCTTGAAAGTTGAAACCTTCGGCGGAACCGTCTGGGGAACAGGCTTGGAAACCCCTTTTGGGACCATCTTGGGACCTCGTGTTAACTGTGTATGAACTAATTTGGAAATGTATTGGAAACCGTCATGGCAACCTTATTTGGAACCATCTTTAGGTCAATTTTTGGAACCTTCTTGGGAACCTTTTGGGAACCTTCTTGGGAACCTTCTTGGGAACATTCTTGGGAACATTCTTGGGAACATTCTTGGGAACCTTCTTGGGAACCTTCTTGGGAACCTTCTTGGGAACCTTTTGGGAACCTTCTTGGGAACATTCTTGGGAACATGCTTGGGAATATTTTTGGGAACCTTCTTGGGAACCTTTTGGGAACCTTCTTGGGAAACTTCTTGGGAACATTCTTAGGAACAATTCTTAGGAAACATTCTTGGGAACCTTCTTGGGAACCTTCTTGGGAACCTTCTTGGGAACCGGCAAGGAAACTTATTGGGAACCATCTTGGCGACTGTCTGTGGGGAACTATCTTTAAAACCGCCTAGGGTGACCATTTTTGAAAGCCATCTTGAAATTAAAATGTAATTTAAGGTTACTTTCTATTTAAGTTCTGGAGACGATGCTAAGCCTGGTGTCCCTGAAGAGTAGACGACCCTGTCTTCTCTCCCTGGAAACTATATCTCATCTTCTCATCTCAGATCTTCTTATTCCAGACAGGGAAATCATTTAACATTTGTACTTGTTTATCTTTTTAAAATATAATATCCCATTACATTATTTGTTAGATCCACAACAATTTGGCTTCCTGATCCGGATCCGCAAAAATATGCGGATCCTCGGATCCGAAAGCAAGGGGCATAACATTATCCAAAAACTGAAAAAAAAACTTTCTAATCTCAAAAACTCAAATTCCCTTAGAGATTGTTAATAAATTACTTTAATTTTGAAGGGTTCATCAAGTTTTAGCATAAAAATAAATTTGAAAAAAGTAAAACAATTAAAAAAAAATTTCTTTTGTTAATAAATTCGTAAATTTTAAAGAAATGTTAATGACCTGGATCCGGATCCTTTTTTCCCTTCCTCAAAATAAAATAGATCCTATGTAATGCTTTAAGTGATAAGATTTTCATTTAGAAGAACAATCTTTGCCGACTCTTAAATTACCAAACACAAAAAAAACCATGAAGAAAAATAAAATTTGTAGATCCCTTGAAGGGCAGAGGAAATGTTTAACTACAGATTTTTCATATTTATTCTAATCAGAAGAAAACTGATTTTGTTTACAGAAAACTGAGAAAGTTTGAACGTAATCCGTTTCATCAGCTTCAGGTAGGAAAAAACCACTTTTTCTGGGAACCAATCTTAATATCAAATTTAAAATAGAAACATAAGGATTTATCATTTCTCCTTGGACTAGACAAAGATTTAAAGTGTATCATTGTGAATCTAACATGCCAATCTATAGAAGGAGGGTCAATTACAATTCCGTTTACAGTTTTTTGGGGGAAATTTTATTCAGTGCGAAGTAATAAATAAAGTTTTTCGTTTTTTTGTTAAACACTTTCTATTATGATCAATTTTTAACTTCAAGTTCAAGTAAAACTCAAATTACTAATATAAAATCACACAACCCGTAAGTGAAAATATTTTATTTCTGAATGACCGATTTTATTGGAAAGAGCTGACTGGCCTTTTACCTTGACTCTTTCCTGGCCCACCAGTCACCACACCTTGTTTCATTGAAACAAGTACCAGTGACGCCCTGCCAATTCCATAATGGTGGAGCGGTTAGGAGCTGAACCCTGGCTGACTATTTTATTTATTTAGTAAGGATACCCGTAACCGGTATCTCTTATATCCTTGATTGCAATAATATTGACCGAATCTATGTTTATGAGCTGAACGGTGGCAATAAGGATACCTGGGCCGTGACCGGTATCGTATTTCTTTCAATTCAATTAAAATGTCCGAATCTATGTTAAGGAGCTGACCGGAGGCAACAAGGATTCTTGCGACCGGTATCTGTTAAACTTGACTGGAATGACCGAATCTATGTTTAGGAGTTGACCGGTGGCAACAAGGATACTCGTGACCGGTATCTTATGTCCTGGATGTTTGAAGATAAACTGCGGGATTTCTATATCAGATTTATTCAAGCTATGGATCTGGTTGGAAAGGATTCAATTGAGAACACAAGAGTAAAGGTGAGCGCGGACTCCTTAAGCTAAGGGTCTCGGGGTCTAATTTTCTATCTATCTATCTATCTCTAGGTGATCAGCTGTACACAACGTCTCTTATGTGGTAACCCAGAGCAAGAGCAGTTGTTGCTGGAGAAGCTGGTTAACCGGCTAGGAGATCCAACACGCGCAGTTGCGGCAAAGGAAATCAATATTTTTTCCCCGCATTTTAAGTATTATCTTAAGTATTACCCTAACCCCCTCCTATGTGATGCCGGGGGGTTAAAGAGATAGACCAAAATTGGAGAGGAATATGGCATCTAGTCTCTCCTTTCATAAAAAAGGGTAATTCCTTTCTGGTATTTATTTGCTTTATCAAGGGACAGATAATAAACTTGATATATGAACTAAATATTTATAATTATCAAGGGACTGATAATAAACTTGATATATGAACTAAATTTTTATAATTATCAAGGGACAGATAATAAACTTGATGTATGAACTAAATATTTATAATTATCAAGGGACTGATAATAAACTTGATGTATGAACTAAATATTTATAATTATCAAGGGACTTAGTTAGGGCTAGACACGTTCTTGAATTTTTAACATTCTTAATAAATTTGTTATTTCAACTTGACATGGATTTTAACTCTGATTTTCTCCTATTTCGTTTATAAACAGCTCCGTTATTGGTTTATCTACAATCTTTTTTTCTTCCTCTGCAGTCTTGATTCGTTACTTGATTGAACAATAGCTTTTTTCATCATGCCTTCTACTAAGTATTCTTTGAAAGTGGTTCCAATTAAACTAAAATAAATGAAAAATATTGAGTACAGGCGATGCATCATCTTGGTGTACTCATTGAAGAGCATCCAGGAATGAAGGTAAAAATTAGTTTGATCAAATATTTACAAAGTTTAATTTTTTACTGACATTTTATTCTTATATTTCTTTAACCTTGTATTTTTACATTGATATCCATCTTCATCTTGATCTATAATTTGACCGTAATCACTTGACTTTGATCCTAATTTTTAACTGGCTTTGAATTTTGATCTTGACCTCGATTTTGACCTTGACCTGGATTTTGACCTTCACCTCGATTTTGACCTTAAACTTGTAATTTATCTAAATATCCGTTTTGGCTTCGACCTCAATTTTCAGCTTGACCTTTACCTAGATCTTGACCTTGACCCTGGTCTGTACTTTGACCTTGCTCTTGGCCTTTAATCTGTCATTAATCCAGATTTATCATTTGTCTTGACTTTGATCTTAAACTAGATCTTGATCTTCACCTTGGTCTTGATCTTTACCTTGATCTTAACTTTGATTTGGATCCTTGCATTGATCTTAATCTTTACCTTGATCTTAACCTTGATTTTGATCCTTACATTGATCTTAATCTTTACCTTGATCTTAATCCTTACATATATTCTTGATAATGAACTTGAACTTGATCTTGGTCTTGGTCTTGGTCTTGGTCTTGGTCTTGGTCTTAATCTAGGCCTTGATTTTATTTTCATTGATTCAGATTTTTATCATTGATCTTAACCCTGACCTTCATCCTTACTTATCTATCTATCTTTCTCTAGGTGATCAGCTGTACACAACGTCTCTTATGTGGTAACCCAGAGCAAGAGCAGTTGTTGCTGGAGAAGCTGGTTAACCGGCTCGGAGATCCAACACGCGCAGTTGCCGCAAAGGAAATCAATATTATTTTCCCCGCATTTGAAGTATTATTAGTATTACCCTAGCCCCCTCCTAATAATTTTAATTTGGGAACATAACAATTTCGTAACTAACATTTTGGTAACAAATAATTTAGCAAATTGATAATCAGGAAATCAATATTCTTCTCTGCATTTTCGATAATTCTTGAACAGTTTCTTGTTTTTCTACTTTTTCCAATTGTGACGTTAATAATCGTTTTTACGATTATTTTTGACAGAAGGATGATTGATTATTACTTTCTTTCTTTCTTTCTTTTTCTTTCTTTCTTTCTTTTTTTCTTTCTTTCTTTCTTTCTTTCTTTCTTTTTTTCTTTCTTTCTTTCTTTTTTTCTTTCTTTCTTTCTTTCTTTCTTTTTTTCTTTCTTTCTTTCTTTCTTTCTTTCTTTCTTTCTTTTTTTCTTTCTTTTTTTCTTTCTTTCTTTCTTTCTTTCTTTCTTTTGTGTTTGTCTGTTTGTTTGTTGTTCAGTGGTATTATCAAGTAATTCCTAAACAAGTGCATGTGGAGGGAAACTATTTTGTAGAAGGGAAGAATGCTTTTTTCAAGAAAATTTTTACACCTGAAAAAGTTTTTTGTATAAGAGGCAAATAATTGAAATTGTAATGTACAGCTTACAGTGTACACTGTACACCTACTTTTGTTCAAGTTAAATTAAAAATTGTCTTTTTCATATTTATCCTCGCACTTTTAAAATGTTCAATCACTAGTTATTAAGTTAAATTTCCTATACTTCCAAGTTATAGAAAATGTTTTTATTTTCTTCTTTTTGTCAAATTATTAATGGGTTTTCTAACGTAAAACTATTAATTTTCAATGACTTTTAATGTTTCTTACTTCCAAACTGTAAATATTTATATTTATATCTTTCTAATAGCTTTTATTTTTCTAACAATAGCTTTTTTTCATCATGCCTTCTACTTAGTTTTCTTTGAAAGTGGTTTTTAGTTAAACTAAAATTGGATTTTATAATGAATGAAAAATATTGAGTACAGGCGATGCATCATCTTGGTGTACTCATTGAAGAGCATCCAGGAATGAAGGTAAAAATTAGTTTGATCGAATATTTTCAAAGTTTAATTTTTCACTGACATTTTATTTTTGTATTTTCTTTAACCTTGTATTTTTTACATTGATATCCTTCTTGATCTTGATCAATAATTTGACCGTGATCGCGTGATCTTGATTCTAATTGTTAACTGGCCTTGAATTTTAATCATGATCTGGATTTTGACCTTAAACTTGTAATTAATCTCAATTTCCGTCTTGGCTTCGACCTCGATTTTCACCTTGACCTTCACCTCAATCTTGACCTTGACCCTGGTCTTGACTTTGACCTTGCTCTTGGCCTTCAATCTGTCATTAATCCAGCTTTATCATTTGTCTTGACTTTCATCTTAAACTATATCTTGATCTTCACCTTGGTCTTGATCTTTACCTTGATCTTAACCTTGATCTATCCTGACATTGATCTTAATTTTTACCTTTATCTTGATCTTTATTTTGATCTTAACCTTGATCTTGATCCTAACATTGATCTTAATCTTTACCTTGATCTTAATCTTTACCTTGATCTTGATCCTTACATTGATCTTAATCTTTACCTTGATCTTGATCCTTACATTGATCTTGATCCTTACATTGATCTTGATATTGATCTTGGTCTTGGTCTTAATCTAGGCCTTGATTTTATTTTCATTGATCCAGATTTTTTCCATTGATCTTAACCCTGACCTTAATCTTGATCTTGACCTTGACCTAGGCCTATTGTAGGATATTCTGGTGAAGGAGGTTGAACGTTTACTCTACCGACCTAACATCAGTCCCAAGGAAACCATCTTGGATTAGAGAATTATTTTAATAATATTTAAGGGAGGGGGGTCCCATGTTGTAGTTTCCTCTCCATATTAAACTTATCCCCAACCACAGGTTTGTGGTGGAGGGGATGAACGATTTGTTCATTTTCATCATAAACAATAAAAACAAAAACAAGATGGCGTTGTGAGTTTAGGCGCAATATTATGGAATCTGTTTTCTATCTCAGATGATGCTGGATAAAACCAGTAATATTGCCAGCAAACTTGTCAAAATTTACTTCTCATTCTTCACTATATCCATCAAGTAATTCATTTAATCATTCACTCATTCATGCATTTATTCATCCTTTCATTTATCCTTTCATTTATTCATTCATTCATTCATTCTTAACAGTAATATTGCCATCACACTCGTAAAAATATACTTCTCATTCCTCAAAATCTATCAAGTAATTAATTCATTTATTCATTCATTTATTTATTGATAATTATTTCTTTCTGTAAATCATTCGCTCGGACGTTTACCCTTACAAGTAAAATAGCCTGCATTTTTTATATTATTCTTATATTCTCCACCACTCAATCTATCAACTGATTCATTTATTCATTCGTTTTGTTATCTTTCATTCAATCTTTCACTTTTTGTTAAACATTTTATGTATATTTATTTTCACACTTTTTAAATTTTTCATTTTTTAAACTTTATTATTAATTTTCTCATTTGATCTTTGATCCACATTTATGCATATTTAATATTTACCTATTTGTATTTAGGAAAGGAGAGATAGATAACAAGTTGATGTCCGCTCTACTGACTGGTGTAAACAGAGCATTCCCTTACTCCAAGCTTGACCCAGCTCAGCTAGATCAACAGATTAATACAATGCACAAGGAATACTATTCATTTATTCATTTATTCATTTATTCATTTATTCATTTATTCATTTATTCATTTATTCATTTATCCATTTATCCATTCATTTATTCATTTATCCATTTATTTATTCATTTATCCATTCATTTATTCATTTATCCATTGATTTATTCACCCTTTCATTCATTTTAATTTATTTTAATATTTATTCATTTGTTTAATATTCAATCATTGATTTAATGATTTATACTTATTTTTGTTCAATCATATTTTTACTTATTCAATCATTTGTTCGTTTTTCTAATTATTCAATTATTTAGTAATTGATTTATTTCCCTTCATTTCTTCATTTTGTTGGTATGATTTTATTTAATTAACTTTTGTTAAATATTAATAATTTTTTTAAGTTTTTTCATCCATTGATTATATGATATTAATTATTTAATCTCCATCTCCAAGATTGAATAAATGAATGTATGTAAAGTTGGTTCACATGGTGAGCTTCAACATCAGTGTACAGACCCTCACCCTGCTCTACCAGATCATGGACTCGAGGGACTCTGTTAATGACAGGTAATTCATTCCTGCATTCATTTATTCATTCATATATTTATTCATTTATTTATTCATCCTTTCATTCATTCATTCATTCAAAATGTTTAAATCTTAAAAAATACTCTGAAAGGCTGGTACAGTATGACCTCTTAACAGTTAATGCGCTATTTGTGTAACTTGACATAAACGAATATTTTACATTAAAATTCGGAAGAACATATTTATTTTCTGTCAATTCTAAAAAGTAAATATTATTATTTTATAACTTAAAACAGCTCTCTATCATAGTTTTCAACAATTTTAAAGCGTTTTTGTAGATTGATAAGAATAAGTTCCACAACGTTGATCAGTCGAAGGTTTCAAGTGTACCGTTGTGAATCGGACACTGCCAGGTCTTTGCATGGAGGATCACTATAAATTACGCTTACAGTCTCTTTAAGAATATAGAATTCTTTTTACCTGTGATATTTCTAATTTTTTAAGGTTCTACACTGCCTTGTATTGGAAAATATTGGACCCTGGGTTCTCTACATCTTCAAAGCAGGTTAAAATTCTGAAGATAACCAGCACCCCCTTAATTTCCTGTACATGCCGAGCCTACACAATTTTACACTAAACATTCTGAAGAGATTTTGATTTGATTTTTAATAATCTTTAATTTAGGCAATTTTCCTTTTTTTGAATAGAGCTTGTAATGCAAAATTTGTCTTTTTAAAAATTAACTAAATCTTAACAATTGAAAAGAAAATATTGTGAAAATTATTTAAACTAGAAAAGGGATGTCATGAAAACTTAGGGTTACTGTATGTAATGTTTGTGTAACTATTTTAATACTTTATTTAATTTAACTTGATTCGTTTTTATTGTATTTCAATTGTGAACATTTTCTCTTTGTACACAATACGTTGTAAAACAAACCCAAAAAAGAATTCGCGCATTTCATAAAAAAATTCGTAGATTATTATATTATATGAAAATCGAGTTTTGTTTGAGGCAAATTTGGTATTTTGATCATTCTTAAAACTTCCCTGGGGTCATGTAAGGTCCCACACAAAGTTTGGGCCCGATCGGTTTAGCGGTTTTGACGTTTATTAGATGCAAACAGACAGACAAGCAAAGTATATATATAGATTTATAGTTAAGTTCATTGTACATGTCCTAATTTAAAAAAAGATATTTTTAGGTTATGTTCTTGAACTTGTTGTACAACTCTGTACGCAAGGACTGTAGTGTAGTACGAGTACGTGCGTACATAAAGCGTCTTCTTCAATGTTGTGAGTATCTCCCTTCAAATAGTGCAGCAGGGATTCTCTTCATCATTTCAGAAATACTCAGGTAATTAAAACAATAAATTGATTTCAACATTTTTAGATCCATTAAGATCTATCAACATATTTTCTTCGTTTATCTTTTTTCATATTAGCTCAGGTTCATTTTATGCAGTTACAAAATTTGGGAATATATTTTAGTATCAAGCTTTGGTTAATTAGAATAAAGATCGGAACTTTTTTGTGGAAATTGTTCTCCTTGAATGTTTGATCTTGATATCCAATGTGGGCACTTGTGAATTTGAGGATCTCGATATCCATCTTCAAGTTAGACCAATCACGGGATATCGAAGAGAGGTTAAATTAATCCGCTGATCTGCACAAGATTGAGATCAATGCTTGATCCTTGATCCCAAGTTCTGACTTAAAGTCAAATAATTGTGCGATGAAAAAAAAATGATTTTTTTGTTTATTTTTCATCAGAACCCGAGGAGATCTTAGTTTAAGAAGTGTTCTGGAATCTCAAGATGGAAATACAGATTTTTCAAGGTATTATTATTTTTATTAATTATTATTATTTTAACCACTGCTTTGAAGGAATTTTAAACAAAGTCAAAAATAGTATCAACCAATTAAAGTTTAGTATTTTCCAAAACATGATTGAGCATTGAGAGATCAGAGGGGTTTTGCCATATTTTCATATGTCAAGACTTGTGAGGGGTGCTTTGAGAGAGCACAAGTTTTTTGTATTGTGCGGTTAATATTTTGCAAATCTACACCCGAATTCATGGATCTACATTTTTGTTAATTTGTTTAGATTTGATGATTCTGATGATGACGAGCACTACGAGGATGTTAAAGAGGAGGATGAGGAGGATACTAAGGATGCTGAGGAGGATGAGGATATGGAGGAAAATCAGAGTGATGATGAAAATGAGAATGATGAGGCTGATGTGAAAATGGAGGATGATAAGGAGGTAAGAATAAGAAACTGTAAAAACTCGAAGAGTCTATCAAGCGTAGACGAAATTTGAAGTAACCTTCCATTTAAAATGAAGAATGCCCGATTCACAACGGTGTCTGGTCAAGTTAATATTTTTTCAAACTTAATATTTTCACTTGAGAGTTTCTGTTGCACGAAAACAATGTAGGAATTGTCAGAAGTAAACACTTTTTAAGCTAGACTAATGACGTTATCTTCCGCATTATTGATCAGATAAAGGTTTCAAGGATACCGTTTGAATTAAGCAATAAGCATACCCCTCTTATAGTGGGGGGTTACTTCAAATAAAAACGACAGTCCCTTGAAAGGGAGTGTTCTCGAAAATTGTAAGGGGGTAATGGGTGTAAGCCTAATAGCCTGAATCCGAATAATTTTCCTTCTATCTCTAGCGTCTGCAAGGAGAACATGGTTTACGATAGCCCATGGAAATTCAATAAGTTGCGGTCGTGGCTCTCCAAGACGAAGGGGGGGGGGGGGTCAGATCCTTCCCTTCCCTTATCTTCCCACTCAAATCATAATTCATTCAATTTAGATTTAAAACTAATCCTTTTAATATTACAATACATAATTTCCGAATTTGATTTGGGTCATTCGAGTCATATCATAATAATGACTCTCTGAAACGAAATTTAATAAAAATGCGAATATCTGCTAGGAGATCAAGCCTGGTTGGATGTTTAAGAAGGCCACTAAGGGACACACTGCTAAATACTCGTATGATGCACAATGCAGAAATCCTCTCTATGCAGGTAAACCCCAAACTTTGAAGTTTTGATCATTGATTAAAATTGATTTATATTTATTAAACCAGAAAGTTTATGAATTTTAAACCCGAAGTATACATTCAACATTAAACTTAATTCAACTTCATTTGATATTGAAAACGTAATGTTTTGTAACTCCTGGAAATCCTTAAAGTAAGCAAGTCTTATTTAATTTTGATGAGACGTTATAGGTCGCAACGTCGCACCAGTAATTCCGCATGGGTAAATCTAGATTGAAGTGATGAGTGAAAATTTAAAAACTTTTAAGGGACTACTCCTTGCTAATACTATGTACAGGAGCTGACAAGGATGGGTTCTGGGAACTGGAAGCCCTCTGCCGCCATTTTCATCCAACAGTCGCCATGTTTGCACAAAACCTTAGGAATCCTTCATGTAAACACTTCACGGTACATTGTACAATGTACACTGTACACTGTACACAGTGTACACTGTACACCGTATACCTTAAACAGATCTAACTGACAGTGAACTTCCATTACACACAAATTAGAATCCTGCATTGTAAATTGTAAAAATTAAAACTTAGTGTACAGTTAGCCCAATAAAACTGTGGAAAACAAAACATCTTTTTGGCTTACCGATACGCTTAAGCTTTAAATGGACGCTAAGCGTAATTTCATGTGAACCTCCGTGCAAAGATGGCAATGCCAGATTTACAAAGGTACGCTTAAAACCTTAATCTTATCAAAATTACGATAACGTCGTTTGTTCTGAATCTTTAAGTGTTTAATTCTGATAATTTCTTCATCGTTTCTTATCAGCAAGTGATGCGCAAGTCACTGCAGAGAACCCACAAATGAAAATAACAAGTTAAATAATCAAAAACACAGATCTAATGCTAAGGGTAGCTTTCAGTTCTAAATCTGGCATTGTCTCCTTTGCACGGAGGGAAACTTGAACTGACGCTTACAGTCCATTAAAGCTACAATTTACACCAACAAGAAAAGAACGTAGAATTGCTTGACACATATTTTAAATAGTTCTGGTAACAAATGTAGGACACTTCCACACTTTGGTGGCTTTTCTAAAATCATAGAATTGTCGTTATTTGATGCTATGGATTGATACCTCTAATTCTAAACGGAGTTGAACATGAACGATGCTAAAGTGAGAATGTTCCAATCAAGTATCCCGGAGACCCCATCAATGATTTCACAATACCCAAGGAAACCAATTCATTATGCTTTTTTTATGTCAACCGATGAAATTGCTAAGTAGTTATGATAAATAAATTGTTGAAATTTTCTTGCAAATTTTTAAAATGATAATAAGATTTAAAATTGCAAATGGTGAAATATTTCCATAAGCTTTAAAATTGCTAATGGCGGAATACTTTCATGAGCTGAATAAAAATGCAAATGGCGAATCTTAATGAATGAATGCCGTGTTTAGTTTCTTGACAGATTTGTATTCCGTAACCCCAAGAAGGATCCTGCAAAGAATAAACCAGTCTCAGCTCTTGGCAAGAGAAACATTTACAAGTAAGATATCTTTGTCAAAGAGCCGAAACATTTCAAGAGTACAGGCCCCTGGCCCATGTTAAATTGAAGAGTAACGTAAAATTAAACTATTAGTCTATTGTTGAACCTAAAAAAGTCCTGTGATGTTGTTTTTCAGCTGATAAAAATATTTAAAAATTAATTTAAAATTCAAGATGATAAAAAAATATTAGTCTGAATTTTTTTTTCAGACCTGGTGGTATCAAGGCCGTGGCCCCGGATAGTAGAGAGTTCATAAATAGAACTCTAGAATCTATACCTGGAGACGAACTATTTTTATATAAATACTTTCAGGTTCTTTATATATTATTCATTCATTCATTCATTTATTCATTCATCCTTTCATTCATTCATTCNCATTTTACATCCTGATCTTAGGCAAGAATTTGTTTTTTACATTTTACATCCTGATCTTAGGCGAGAATTTGTTATTTACATTTTACATCCTGATCTTAGGCGAGAATTTGTTTTTTAATTAGTTTAAATGAAAATATTTTTAGAAAATTATGTATTAAATATTTACTAAGATTATCATTGACTTATTACCTTTGGCGGTTATTTTTGATTTAGGTTTAGTCTTGATTTACAAGAAATTTTATACTTTAATTTTTTTATATTTTAATATAGTCAAATGTATGTCAACCCTATTACTTCACAAATTTAAAAATTAATTAACCACCCGGAAATACTTGTCATGATTGTAAAATGTAATTTTTTTTATGTAAAATAATTATAAAATAATCATTTCTATATGAACATATATTGATTCGTTTTATACTCCAAAAAAAACATAAATGTTATCAAAAAAAATGATGCTCAAAAGAAATGTTTGAAATATTGTTAATTTTAGATTTGGATTTTGCCAAGGGGTTGGAGGAGGGAGGAGAGGAGGGTAGTGATCTAGATCTACCAGGTAACAAATTTTTACTTTCTTACCATTTTTTTTTAAGATTTATAAAAACTGTTTATTTTTTATTTTAACATTTTTGCACGATTACCAGTAATACCTAATTTTTTTGCTTTGATCAAATCATATACTTTAATTTTACATTTGATCATAAATATTCAAATTTAAAAACACTTCAACTTCTTTGGATTTTGTTTGGTGTCTCGTAGAAGTGGCCAGGAGCTCAACTCAGGAGCTCAACCCAGGAGCTTAACCCAGGAGCTCAATCCAGGAGCTCAACTCAGGAGCTCAACCCAGGAGCTCAACCCAGGAGCTCAACCCAGGAGCTCAACTCTGGAGCTCAACTCTGGAGCTCAACTCTGGAGCTCAACCCAGGAGCTCAACTCTGGAGCTCAACTCTGGAGCTCAACCCAGGAGCTCAACGTTATACTTTCACTGTAGGTTAAATAATTATAATGATAATAATAATAATAATCTCTAGAAGACGAGAGCGAAGGTGAAGAGGAAGATGAAGAGGATAGTGATGCAGAACCTGAAGGACTTGAAGGAGAAACAGATGATGGATTCCAGGTAAGTTTTTGATGTTCTTTTGTACTACACAATATAAAGGACATTAAGTGGTCACCGAAACATAGCTAGAGCTGGGAACTCTAGTATTGTGTATAAGATCGATAACATTGCTAAATCTCAGTCTATTGTTAATATGCAATCGTAACCTAGAGGAATAACTAAAATAACGAGATTTAGCATTGATCCATAATATAAAAATGTCCACAATGGATATCAAAATCAAGCGATTGGAATCCTACAGAAATTCCCAGCTCAGGGAAAATTGGAATAAGCTTGTAACAATCAATAAAATGAGAGGATTCAATGATTGACCTGATATTTGAACATCATACACACGATTTACTTTTATGTACCCAGGCGCTATTTACTTATCAATATTTGTAAATTTTCAGAATTTGCAAATACATTTTTTTGAAGATTCTATAAAAAGAGCCAAAGAGCTTTCTAACATCATATAACTTGTCTTTTTTGACATTATACACATGAAGTTGTATATTTTACCATCGAACTAATTATTATTTATCATTATTAATATTTTTTTAAAACATTTTTCAGTTTCTATTAAACAGCTTTAAAATTTGGACACCATGTCATAGTTTGTTTACATCAGGACCTGTCTGATGAGGATGATGATGATGAACTAGGAGGAGGTGATATGAAGTACATGGATGATGACGATGATGATATGGATGAAGAAGATATTAAGTTTAGTGATGAGGTAAACATTAAACAATTATAATTTTGAATGAATCAAAAGGAACGTTTTAGAATTTAACGAGGGGGGTGGACATATATGAGCATTGAGAAATCCATGAAATTTAAAGCTTTAAATGAGAAAATTGCAAGTTTTTGGTCGGTGTTGGGGCAATTTTTAAGCCCCCCCCCCCCCCCATCGCTTTATTCGCATTTGGTGCTAATACAAAATCAAAACACGGGTTTATACCTTATAAACTCTCATTTTCATTAAAGAGACTTTTTCTTTTCGGGAAAATCGTTACTAGTCTTATTTGATCATTTCCAAGGATGAACCTAACCCAAAATCTTTCATAATAATGTGGGACACTGGGACACCCTGTATATTGTATAATGTATATTTCACGTTTTTAATGCTGAACTATAAATGATCTATTATATTTGGAGGAGGAGGAGGAGGGACCGAGTAAAAAGCCCGCCAAAAAGTCTGGAGCCAAGAAGAAATCCTCTAAACGTTTTGATCGGTTTGATCCGAATGATCTGAGCAGTCTACTGGCTGATGCCGAGGAGTTCTCTCATCTACTAGAACAGAACGATGATGAAGGTAACATAATGTTTTTATCCTTTTTTTTGTTTAAAATCTTATATTTTTGTTTCTGGTCTTTTATTTACAGTATTTCATTAATCAGATTATTATTATCTGAAAACTTGCCTCGCTTTACTTTTTAGACTTGCTGTGAGGTTCAGAAAACACTGGAATACGTATGTCGTATTTTCTCTTATTCTTAAAAAATGCCTCTTAAGAATTTTTTAACTTCAAATTTCACAATCTTTTCTACTTTTTACATAACACTAAAATTCGCTGTTTTCTGGTTCTTACTGGAATTAATATTATCATTTTTAAGAATTTTTTTGCAACATTTTTATTAAGGTTATTTAATGTAGTGTTGTTTAAGTTGTCTTTTTTATTTCAAACCTTACTTTCATATAACCAACATTTTTAGTTTTTTCCTAAATTTGAAATTAATTTGATTTTACTTAGGAACGAGTAAGAGTGTATCGAGCAAGGATAAGGCGAGTGTTAAGCAGTTGAACTGGGAGAAGAACAGGGAAAACTTCATGAACAACAAGACCTGGGGAAAATCCGGGAAAGGGGGAAAACCCGGGAAATCCGGTAAATGGGCCCCGAAATCCGGATCGAAAGGAAAACCTCTGAAGAAGAAAATGAAGAGATAGAATTTTTTTTTGTCTTTAAAATTTAATTAATTTTAATAAATATTTTTTGTTATAAATAATTTTTAGACTAATTATTTATGCTACTTTTGGATATTTTTTGCTCAAAATAATTTGTAAGATTGAAGAAAGAAAAGAAAGGATGGAATGGGAAGAAAAGAAAGGATGGGGTTGACCATTTTAATTAATTTCAATAAATATTTTTTGTTACATTAAAGAAAACGCAAGAGAGAGGAAAGGATTCCACGAAGAAAAGAAAAAAAAAAGGACTAGAAAGGAAAAAAGATGACCATTGAGAAGAATTGGAAAGGACAACGAAAGAAAGGAAAGAGAACATGAAGAAATGATGGCTAAGAGGACTTAAAGAGAAAAATTGGAAGGACTTTAAAGAGACCATGAAGGAAGGATAGACAAGGACTTAAAGAGAAAAATTGGAAGGACTATAAAGAGACCATGAAGAAAGGATAGACAAGGACTTATAGAGAAAAATTGGAAAGTACTAAAAAGGGATCATGAAGGTTTCGAAAGCATATTAGTAAAATGGAAATGCTCCGAGAAAGGTAAGGACTCAGGACTGCGAAGAAATTGAAGGAAGAGGACTAGGAAAAATTGGAGTCATAGCAATGGGACTGATTAAGGAAATTTTTAATCCATGCCATGAGGATCAGTCGAGATAAGAAAGGGACAAAAGCTGGTCAGCATGAAGAAATTGGAAAATTTGTAGAACTTATTCATTTATTCCTTTTCCATAATCTTGTTAGAGTCGTTAGAGACCTGAGAAATGAATAAAAATAACATTTATCTGCATTTGTCTTAAATGAGCAGTTGAGAATTTTCGTGTGTGTGAGTATGTGGTGTGTGTTTGTGTGTGTGACGTGACGTAATATGTTTGTGACGTCATGTAGAAATCTTCGAGATCCTCTCAATTGTACTCTCTCTCTCTCTCTTTCTCTCTCGTTTTTCTTGCGGATTTTCAAATCTAAGATTTTAATTTTTTAAAATTTTTTTACTTTTATTTAAACCGATTGTTCAGAAAATTCATAATCGTTTTTGAATGCTATTAAATAAATAGTATTTAAATTTTACATCGAGTAGTTTGTAATGGAGGACAGTATAGTCGATAAGAATATTCTATCTTTCTATCTTACTCTCTCTCTCATTCAGTGTTCAGTCACCTGATCCAAATAGACAGTCTCGAACGCAAGAAACAGACATTATTTCAAGATTTTAACGGTTTTTCGAAACATTGTAAATAAAAAACACATTTGATAGATATTTTTTCGATATTTCGACCACGCATTGATCAATTTTTAAGTGAAAAATAGGCGCAATAACCTTGCACTCGTATACAGCTTTTGTAAATTAGAATAATACGCACATTTAGTTTTAACTTTTAATTTAGTGTTTTAACTTATAATTGTAACTATTTTTTGTACTTTCTACCCTTGTTTAGAGTTGTTTTGTCCTTTCTACCCTTGTTTAGAGTTGTTTTGTACTTTCTACCCTTGTTTAGAGCTGTTATGTCCTTTCTACCCTTGGTTAGAGTTGTTTTGTACTTTCTACCCTTGTTTAGAGTTGTTTTGTACTTTCTACCCTTGTTTAGAGTTGTTATGTCCTTTCTACCCTTGTTTAGAGTTGTTTTGAACTTTCTACCCTTGTTTAAAGTCTTTTTGTACCTTCTACCCTTTTTAGAGTTGTTTTGTCCTTTCTACCCTTGTTTAGAGTTGTTTTGTACTTTCTACCCTTGTTTAGAGTTGTTTTGTCCTTTCTACCCTTGTTTAGAGTTGTTTTGTCCTTTCTACCCTTGTTTAGAGTCTTTTTGTATTTTCTACCCTTGTTTAGAGTTATGTCCTTTCTACCCTTGTTTAGAGTCTTTTTGTACTTTCTACCCTTTTATAGAGTCTTCTTTCTACCCTTGTTTAGAGTTGTTTTGTCCTTTCTACCCTTTTATAGTCTTTTTGTACTTTCTACCCTTGTTTAGAGTTATGTCCTTTCTACCCTAGTTTAGAGTTATGTCCTTTCTACCCTTGTTTAGAGTCTTTTTCTACATTCTACTCTTGTTTTGATGTATGTCCTTTCTACCCTTGTTTAGAGTCTTTTTGTACTTTCTTCCCTGTTTCAAAGTCTCTTTGTACAGAGCGTCCCATATCATATTAGATTATCTCCAATCTTTAACACCAAAATAAACCCTTAATACTCGAAAAACTTATCATTTTCCGCAAGAAAATTCTTACATAAGCCTTATGTTATTTTTCAAAATGATTCATTCTAATGAAATTTTCTAATTAGTCGCGAAAATCATAATTTAGACCCGTTCTCGGTCTAATATGATGTGGGACACCCTGTACTTCCCTGTTAAAAATCTTTTCCCTTTCTTTCCTTGTTTAGTCTTTTTTCCTTGCTTCCATTGTTTAGAATCTGCTCCTCCTTTCTTCCCTATTCTTACTCTTCTTACCCTGCGTAGTGAATCCATTCTATATTTATCCTTATACCCTGTATGCACATAACACAATGCACTTGATGCACAGGCATGGTAAATTATAAGTAAATAGAAATATGTGATAATATTTTAACAGATGTATTTAGAAGTTAAATCTCGTCATCTTTGAAAATAAATTTACGCAAAGGTGTGAAATTATTAATCCATAAACTAATAAAATTAAAATTGTGGATTGTTCGTCACCAACTTAAACTAATGTTCTGGCGGAATTAACGGTTGAAACGATTGTACTATTTAAAAAAGCAAGATCGAATAGAACATAAAATAATTGGATTGGGTGCCTATATAACACAGAGTTTCGATAAGATAAAATACATAAAGCACGGAAGGGGGGGGCATTATAGATATTATAAATATTATAAAACTTGGAATGAGAAAGTTTTTTAATCCAATAGATATCGATTTTCTTGCGAAGTTTGTTATAAGCAATGAAAATTAATCTCTGACTGCATGTCCTAGCCCCCCCCCCCCCCCCCCCCAGTATAATTTAGTACCTTCATCACCCTTTCAATATTCTTGCACTATGTTATATGATAGTTTGAAATGAATACTTTTCACAGATTTGATAGAAGGATAGCGGGGGGGGGGGGGTATTCCGGCAAGTAACACTGTCTTTCTTTATCCCTTCATTATTAAAAAATAAAATTGTATTCTATTAAAAAATAAAATTGTATTCGCGCATTAATTAGGGGTAAAAGAAAAATAAAAAGTTATAATTCTTTCAAGATAAAATTTACATAAAAAAGTTCTTCAATTTTGAAATGTATGGGGTTGATTGACTTTTGTGTAATTTATAAACTCTTTTTAAAAAAAATTTATAAAAAACGAGAGAGAGAAAAAATGAGAAAATTGTTTTATTTTTGTTGACAATTGCAGGTTACAAACATGGCGTTCCTGCCGGGTTTGAAGAAGCAAATCAACAAGGCAAACCAGTTTATGTCAGAGAAAATCAGCGGAGTCGAAGGAACAAAGGTTAGAAAAAATGTTAGATTTAAAATGTTTAAAATTTTGCAATCATTTTATTTTTTAGCTTGACGATGATTTCCACACGATGGAGCGTAAGACGGATATCTATGTGGAGTTGGTGGATGATCTTCAGATTAAAACTAAGGAGTATCTTCAACCCAATCCTACTGTCAGGGCCAAGATGGCGGCCGTCAAGGTCAATATTCCCGCCAAATTCAAGATTTCCCGAATTTTTCTTCCAACTTTCATTTTTCGAAGATATTTCAGTAATGGCCGGGGAAATCCATTTTTGATTTCCTTATTAATCTTCAGTTCGTAGTTTTTATTTAAATATTCTTGATAAAAATTAATTTTTACAAAAATAAAATCCTTTACATTAAATTTTTCAGGGTATTTCGAAACTATCTGGTCAGGCTAAAGCTAGCACCTATCCCCAACCTGAGGGGACTTTAGGGGATGCCATGGCAACCTTCGGAAACAAGCTGCTGGACTTTGACAACAGGTTGGTTGGGGTTTTATGAAAATAGGATGGTGAAAGTAGTAAGGTGAGCCACATCCGCACTTCGTCCGAGCCATGTTTTCTAAATATTGGTTCAAACCTAAGAAATCTGCCCTTGAAATGAAAACTAAAAGGGAAAATGAGGCTCGGATAAGCACTTGTGGGCTCGCCTCCACCCCCCTCTCCCACACGAAACTAAAGATTAAAACAAATGAGGAAATTTTGAGGTTTTTTATCTGAAAGTGGAGAAGGAGGATTATTTTTAAGCTTTAATTGGTTTAATTGGTAAGTAAGGTTAATTGGTTGAATTGGTAAGTTGGGTTAGTTGGTTTAGTATGTTTAATTGGTTGAATTGGTAAGTTGGGTTAGTTGGTTTAGTATGTTTAATTGGTTGAATTGGTAAGTTGGGTTAGNATGACCTCTCTAAACCTATTCACTAATTAATCTGACCAGAAAATGCCTCTCTTGACCACTCTGAACCCATCCGACCTCTCTAAACCAATTTGACTTGGAATGACCTTTCTACACAAGACACTATCAACCCTGAAATGGTCTCAACAAATCAAACTAACCAACATGACTTCTAGGTGGCGCACCACCGGAAGAAGCTTCAAGGCCGGAAGTTGGATTATGATTGTAAGAAGAGGAAACAGCAGTCAGGGGGTGGTGTACCGGAAAAGGAAATAAAACAGGTGATATCAAAACAAAATGGGTTGATTGATCGATAGACTGATTGATCGGTTGGTGAATTGATTGGTTGATCGATTGATTGATCAGTTGATTGATTGATCGATTGATTGATCTGTTGATTGGTTGATCAAAAGATTAATTAATCGGTTTGTGTATTGATTGATTGATTGATCAGCTGATTGATGTATTGATTGGTTGAATGATTGACTGATTTATTAAAATTTAATTCTAAATTTTCCTATGATACCAAACACAGGAATATTTTCTTTCTTTTGGTGTAATTGAAGGAAATTGTGAGAATTAAACTCTTGAACTTTTGATGATAAAGGCAGATTTTGATATTTTTGTTTTGATTTGAGCATTGAAAACGTGTTTTGATTTGAGCTTTGAACACGTGTTTTGATTCAATATTTAACACTTTATTGATTTGAGCCTTAAACACGTGTTTTGATTTGATATTTAACACGTGTTTTGATTCGATATTTAATACTTTATTGATTTTTGAACATGTGTTTTGATGTGTTATTTATGACTTATGATTTGAGCATTGAACACGTGTTTTGTTTGATTTTTAAAACACCTACGTATTTTTTTTAGCCTTGAACATGTGTTCTGTTCGAGTCTTGAATATTTGTTTTGATTTAAGCCGTAATAATTCTTTTGATTTGAGCCTTAATGTGTTTTTATTAAAGCCTTGAACACGTGTTTTGAATTGAGTTAAACACGTGTTTTGATTTTAGATTTAACACTGTTTTGAATTAAGTCTCGATCACACGTTTTGATTTGAAATTTATCACTTTTGATTTGAGCCTTGAACACGTGTTTGATTTGGTATTTAACACGTGATCTATAGGCCGAGGATAAATTTGCTGAGAGTCTTCACCTGGCCCAGATGGGGATGCACAACATCATGGAGAACGATGTAGAGCAGGTACCGACTTATTTCTCCTCGGGGATATTTTTTTCTTCATNTACACACTGTACACACTATATATATATTTAGAGTTTGACGTACACACTGTACACACTATATATATATTTAGAGTTTGACGTACACACTGTACACACTATATATATATTTAGAGTTTGACGTACACACTGTACACACTATATATATATTTAGAGTTTGACGTACACACTGTACACACTATATATATATTTAGAGTTTGACGTACACACTGTACACACTATATATATATTTAGAGTTTGACGTACACACTGTACACACTATATATATATTTAGAGTTTGACGTACACACTGTACACACTATATATATATTTAGAGTTTGACGTACACACTGTACACACTATATATATATTTAGAGTTTGACGTACACACTGTACACACTATATATATATTTAGAGTTTGACGTACACACTGTACACACTATATATATATTTAGAGTTTGACGTACACACTGTACACACTATATATATATTTAGAGTTTGACGTACACACTGTACACACTATATATATATTTAGAGTTTGACGTACACACTGTACACACTATATATATATTTAGAGTTTGACGTACACCCTGTACACACTATATATATATTTAGAGTTTGACGTACACCCTTTACACACTATATATATATTTAGAGTTTGACGGAGACACTGTACACAATATATATATATTTAGAGTTTGACGGACACCCTGTACACACTATATATATATATTTAGAGTTTGACGTACACACTGTACACACTATATATATATTTAGAGTTTGACGGACACCCTGTACACACTATATATATATTTAGAGTTTGACGTACACCCTGTACACACTATATATATATTTAGAGTTTGACGTACACACTGTACACACTATATATATATTTAGAGTTTGACGGACACCCTGTACACAAAGACGAATGAGGCGAGCTCTAGGGAGAAAAGAGAGTTTACCCCTAAGACCCTTGAGGACCTTGGAGTGGAGACAAGCAGTGATTATAACATTGCTGCACCTAACCAAGAACGCGCATTGA